TTTTTTTTTTTCAACGTTTATTTATTTTTGGGACAGAGAGAGACAGAGCATGAACGGGGGAGGGGCAGAGAGAGAGGGAGACACAGAATCGGAAACAGGCTCCAGGCTCTGAGCCATCAGCCCAGAGCCTGACGCGGGGCTCGAACTCACGGACCGCGAGATCGTGACCTGGCTGAAGTCGGACGCTCAACCGACTGCGCCACCCAGGCGCCCCTCACCCGTTAGTTTTCTAAAGGGAATGGTATGATGCCTTGTTTATCTTATTACTGGAAATGAAGAATTGTTTTTCAACTTTATAATTAGGAAAGCATGCCGTATATATGCACACAAAGCCATTCTTGAAATGAGGCTGTATCTTTCATATAACATGATCATAGAATAAATTAATCTGTCTTAATTTTTTTTTGATGAAAACAAAACTTTTGCCCTCAAAGCAAAATCTTGAATTTACCAGTATGTAGAGTTGTGTATAAAACATTGGAATAAATGAGGTATTTGTGGAAGGGAAGAGTTAAAAGAATATGTTTAGGTGTGGTGTTAATAATGATTAATAACAACTTAATAATTAACAACAATTGTTTGTTGAGCACGTACTAAATCCCAGGCAGTATGCTAAGCATTCAGGTTATAGGAGAAAGAATAGTTTCTTTTCTCCTTGAGTTGTGGGAGGAAAGTGGGTAAATAGGATAGTAAAGTTTATTATAAATCCTTGGAGGACAAATGCAGGTTACCTAACTTGGACTGAGAGAGGGGGGCTGTGGGAAGTTTCTACTGAAAAGGAAGTTTAACCTGTGTGGATGAAGGATGTGTAAGAGATAAGGGCATTATAGACAATGAAAGCCATTACAGAGAATGCAGAGACTTTCTTCAATAAATCTGCACCCATTGCTTCTGTGCAGGTTAGTTCTCATGATTTATACAGAGTGCTAAGAAGAGACTGGAGAAGTTAGACAAAGGTCTAACTGATTTTTTTTTTTAAGGTTGTGGTTCTTATTTTTTGTAAAAATAATGGGAAATGGGAAATCACTTAAAAATTTTAAGTAAAGTATTAGCATGATGATCATATTTGATTGTTGTGTTTTGGCTAAGAGTATACTAGAAGAGAATCGATTGGGATAAAAAACATGAAATGAATTAGAGATTACTATGAGGAGTAGAATTGATATGACCAAGGAAAGTTGACAGGAGGAATCAAAGATGACTAACAGGTTTCTGCTTTGAACGGGTTTGTGAATAACAGAGGATCAAAAATAAAGGAAAACAGCAGGATTTTGTAGTTCTCGTGTTAGTTGTTGTACAAAATGGGAGATAATAAAATGAGTTTTTAAAATCTGTTTTGAATATGTTTAAAAATTTTTTAATGTTTGTTTATTTTTGAGAGAGAGAGACAGAGTACGAGGGGGGTGGGTGCAGAGACAGAGAGTGAGACACAGAATCTGAATGAAACAGGCCCCAGGCTCTGAGCTGTCAGCACAGAGCCCGACGCAGGGCTTGAACTCAGGAATGGTGAGATCATGACCTGAGCCGAAGTCAGATGCTTAACCTACTGAGCAACCCAGATGCCCCTGTTTTGAATATGTTTAATTGGAGGTACCCTTGTAGTATCCAACTAGAGATGTCCAATACACCGTGGGTTATGTGACAGAGGGATCTCTAGATGAAACATATAGATTTGAAATTAATTAGCACATGTTGGGAGTTTACATCAAGGGAATGGATAAAGTCACCAAGGAAATATATAGTTTAAGATGAGAAGAAAAAAGAACCAAGAATGAACTTTGGGGTACATGAACATTTAAAAAGTGGGCAGTTGGGGCGCCTGAGTGGCTCAGTTGGTTGGGTGTCCAACTTCGGCTCAGGTC